GGTTGGTCGAATCTGCAGTTGCGGAACCCGCAGAATCAGAGTGGTTGGCGGTTGGGCGAATCTGCAGTTGCGGAACCCGCAGAATCAGGGTGGTTGGCGGTTGGTCGAATCTGCAGTTGCGGAATCCGCAGAATCAGGGTGGTTGGCGGTTGGTCGAATCTGCAGTTGCGGAACCCGCAGTTCCGGAACTGCAGAAGCGGAACCCTGCAGATGCAGAACCCTGCAGATGAGGAACTCTGCAGATGCGGAACTCGCTGAATCCGAGGGCAGGATGTAAATTACACCGTGTTCCAGGAGGGCCTCGAATATTCCTGGCTTTTGGTATGGGTGGAGTGGTGGTCTTGGAATCAGTCCTCCGCAGATACCCAGGGAAGGCTGAACTTGCATCTTTACTTGACAATTAAAAGGAATAATTAGGGTAAACAGGTTTTCCTTGTAACTCAGTTGGTAAAGAATCTGCCTGCTAGGCAGGAGACCTGGGTTTGATTCCTGGGTTGGGAAGATACCCTGGAGAAGGAAATAGCAACCCACTCCAATATTCTTGCCTGGAGAATTCCATGGACAGAGGAGCCTGGTAGGCTACAATCTATGGGGTCGAAAGAGTCGGACACGTGACTTAGCGACTAAACCACCACCATTAGGGTAAACGGGGCGTACTTTTTGGTTTAACAATAATCCAATATAAAGTTCACTGTGTAAACCTGGTCAAAGAGAACAAGGCGTGTCTTCTAATCCTTTAGCCCTTCTAGTTGTATCATGGATAAAGTTCGGTGACCTTGTGCATTTCTCCAGACAGAAAGCTTGCGGTAACTGAGAAGTGCGGCCTGGCCCAAGCCCTTAGCTCGCTGACCTGTGGATTTCTGTGTCTTTTGGTGAGTAATGAATAAGAACTTGTAGCAGGGGCTCCCCACAGCGCTTCACTTTCTAAGATAATTTCTAACCTGCAGAATATTTTTCTCTTGATGGTAGGCATCCGGGTGCATTTAAGGTTGAGATGTCTTGTGAAATGAAATTTTTCAATTATTTATGTTGCATAAGCATCCAGTGAAAGAAGTGCACAATGTGAGAGTTGTGAGTTTTTAAAGTTTTATTTGGGGCAAAGTGAAGACTATAGCCTAGGAGACCGCCTCTCATATATCACTAAAGAACTACTCCCAAAAGGTAGGGGGGAGGTCAGCGTGATTTTAGTGAAGGGATATACCTGCCGTCTAGCAACATTTTGGCAGAGTGTTGCTATTAGTCATGAGGAGCAGATGTCTCTGTTAATTATTTTAGTCCTTTTTAAATAAAAGAAAATGCAAGGGGACTTCCCTGGTAGTCCTTCTACTGCAGGAGGTGTTTGTGTTTGATCACTGGTCAGGTAACTAAGATCCCACATGCCACTGTGGTGTGGCAAAAAAAAAAAAATGATAATACAAGAAATTGAGCTCATAAAATCTTCTTCTAAAGAATATCTAAAGTCCTGTTCTGCCAGTTTTTCCAGGAGCATGGAGCTGCTCATTCCTGAACTCTGCTCTGAACTCCTTTCAGGGTGTGTTGAAGGTCAGCCACTGCAGTGGCTAGTGACTTCATCCTTATAGAGGTAGATGGTAGTTTTTCATCCACATAGGTTTTGTTCACAGGATGTCAGAATGGGCAGTTTATTACCTTTTAACCATAAGTTCTCCTGTTAAGATCAGCTGTATGCTCCCAGGTGGCACAGTGGTAAAGAATCTGCCTGCCAAAAGAATGAAGGAGATGTGGGTTCAATCCCTGGTTCAAATAGAAGGAAATGGCAACCCACTCCAGTATTCTTGCCTGGAAAATCCCATCAGAGGAGTCTGGCGGGCTGCAGACAGTCCGGGGTGGTCTCAAAGAGTCAGACACGACTGAGTGACTGAGCACACACATTGTTCTTTTCAAGAGAGCTCAGCTCACATGACAGCCCCCAACACTTGAAAGTCAAGAGATCCTTGAAAAAGTGACACAAATTTCATTAAGGTCCTACCTGGAATTGGAGTTCAGTTGATTCTATACGGAAGAAGTTTTGACCTAGTGTGGTGTTCATTAAGTATTTCTTATCCCCCATAGGAGATAAAACACAACAAAGACAAATTAGGCATCTGCTTTGGCTTTAAATGCAAGGGATTTGGTTATAAAATAGCATTCTCTTACAGAATTTCTTTCTTTTCTTTTTTTTTTTTTTTTTTTGTGACCGTGCAGCTTTTGTGTGGAGTCAACCACTGGACCACCAGGAAAGCCCCTTTATAGAATTTTATGCTTCCTTTACTTAAATAGAATTCACATTATTTAAACAACTCACTAACAAGCTTCTTGTTTTTATTATTTATTGCATACGTTTTAGTAATTCTTGTCATTTAGTCACTAAATTTTAGTGTGATTGGAAGGTAATTGCTATGTTGGTTTCTGCCACACAACAACTTGAATCAGACATAACTGTATGTATAGCCCCTCCCTCTTGAGTCTTCCCTCCCACTCCCCTCCCAACCCCACTCCTCTAGGTTATCACAGACCGCGAGGCTGGGCTTCCTGCATTTTTTTTTTTTAATTTTAAAAACTTTTAAAAATTGTATTATTTCTTTTTGGCTGCACTGGGTGGGTCTTCTTTGCTGCAAGTCGGCTCCTGTCTAGTTGTGGTCCATGGGCTTCTTGTTGCAGTGGCTTCTTTGGTGGCATGGGCTCTGGAGTACTGACTCAGTAGTTGTGGCCCATGGGTTTAGTTCCTCTGTGGCATGTGGAATCTTCCTGAACTGGAGATTAAACCCATGTCTGCTGTTTTAGCAGGCAGATTCTTAACCTCTGGACCACCAGGGCAGTCCCCTGAGTTGGTTTTTTTTTTTAATGTTTTATTTGGCTGCACCGAGTCTTAGTTGCAGCATGTGGGGATCTAGTTCCCTGACCAAGGATCGAACCTGGGCTCCCTGCTCTGAGAACACAGAGTCTTAGCCACTGGACCACCAAGGAAGTCCTTTGCTAAATGAGAGCTTATCAGTGGAGGACTCAATCTAAGGGTTCACTAAGCCTCTTGGAAAAAAGTTACTGAAGCCCCAATGCACAATCTAGAAAATGACTAGGATACAAACAGGCAATGGGCTAAGCATGGAAGGAGGGGGGAGTGAACATTTTAGCCTGAGGACTCGGCACATGCAGAATCCCTGTAGCAGCTAAAATCCCTGGATTGTACCATGAAGTGAGCAAGACAGGACGTGGCTGAAAAAGAAACAAGAGGGGAGGAAATTGAATTATATTGCAGGAGCCCCAGCCACATGACTTGTCTTGAAAGCAAGTTCAAGGTTTAATTTAAGACAGGTGGAAAGCCATTATGAGCAGGGGCACAACTATTATAGACTTGTGTTTAGCAGAGCTAGCTATGCGGTGAGGACGGAGTACAAAAGGCCAAGCTTGACTGTCAGAGAAAAGATGAAGGATTAGTAGTAGGGTTTAGGAATGAGTGACACTAATCTAGATTTGATGGTTGCAAAGTAGAAAAAAGTGATGACTTGGGGGAGAGATGAAGGCTGGAATCCATACTCATTAATTTCTTCACACTCAGAATGCTTTACAATGTAGCTAGTGATGTGCTAGTGACTGGATATAGATGGTTTTTTAAATATATGTTTATGTTTATTTCTATTTATTATTTGGCTGCACTGCATCTTAGCTATGGCATGCAGGATTTTCAGTCTTTGTTGTGGCATGTGATATCTTTAGTTGAAGCATGCGAACTCTTAATTGTGGCTTGTGAGATCTAGTTCCCTCACCAGGGATCAAACCTGGGCCCCCAGCAATGGCAGCTCAGGGTCTTAGCCACTGTGCTGCTAGGGAAGTCCTCAGGTATATGGTTTTAATGAGGCCACTCTTGGACATTGGGCTTCCCAGGTGGCAAAGTGGTAAAGAATCCACCTGTCAAGGCAGAAGATGCAGGTGATGCAGATTCGCGATCTTGGAGCAGGAAAGGGAAACCCACTCCAGTATTCTTGCCTGAGAAGTCCATGAACAGAGAAACCTGGCAGGCTACAGTCAACCGGGGCTTGCAAAGATTCAGACTTGACTGAGCATGCATGCATATACTCTTGGACATTAGATCTAGTGGAAGAGAAAGAATATAAGCAAGCGAAGAACAAATACATGATTACAAATTGTGCCGAGGGCTACATAGGGAGAATAGAGAGAGCTCTTAGACAAGAAGAGATTGGCTTTATATTAAATATGGTGCTCACAATAAAGTTGATTCTGAGAAAATGACATTTACATGGACAGAAAAATAACAAAGGCAAAATTATCCATGTGTGGGAAGAGAGAAGAGTTTAGTAGTTGGAATTTTCTCTGGAGGGAGCACCATTGAAGAAATGATCAGATATGGGTGGAGATAGGGTGTGTCTTGGATTAGCCTGTCAATTTGTGCTGTGTGGTAGGGTGGAGAAGTCTACAAAGGAATGGTTTTAGGTTTCAGGTAATTGCTGCCTTTAGGGGATGGGGTAGAAAGTGCGCCCATATTTTTAAATTTCTTTGGCTGTTATGGACTGAGGGAGAGAAGTCTAGAATTCTGTGTGGTTTTTTTAAGTTTTGTTTACTTTTATTATTTTTTAAAATTTATTTATTTGACTGTTCTGGGTCTTAGTTGTGGCATGTAGGATCTTTGGTTGCAGCATGTAGGATCTAGTTACCTGACCAGGGATCGAACCCTCGATCCCCTGCATTGGGAGCATAGAGTTTTAGCTACTAGACCACTGGGGAAGTCCCTTAATTATTTTTGACTGCCCTGGGTCTTTGCTGCTGTGTGTGGGCTTTCTATAGTTGTAGTGCTTGGGCTTCTCATTGAGATGGCTTCTCTTGTGGAACACAGGCCCTAGGGCACTCGGGCTTCAATAATTGCACCTCTGGGGCTCTAGAGCACCACCTCAATAGTTGTGGCCTATAGGCGTAATTAGCTGACTTCCCTGGTGCCTCAGGTGGTAAAGCACCTGCCTACAATGTGGGAGACCTGGGTTCAATCCCTGTGTCAGGAAGATCCTCTGGAGAAGGAAATGGCAACCCACTCCAGTACTCTTGCCTGGAAAATCCCATGGACAGAGGAGCCTGGTAGGCTACAGTCCATGGGGTCACGAAGAGTCGGACACGACTGAGTGACTAAACTAAACTATAGGCTTAGTTGCTCTGCTCCACAGCAAGTGGAATCTTCCCTGGATCAGGGATTGAACCCATGTCCCCAATATTGGCAGATGGATTCTTAAGCACTGGATCAGCAGGGAAGCCCTCTGTGGGTTTTGTTGTTTTTTCTTCTGCGGCTTTAATTGAGTTCAGCCCGCAGGAAGGGGGAAGGGCTTATCAATTAATCTTTAGTTTCAATTCATTATAGCTGTGGGGTGGGGTGGGGTAAAGGCATGTGATACCAATGATACCTTCTATGTGCTGTGAATACCTAGTACTAGTACTCCAAGGCACTAGTACTCCTTGCTGAGAGTGCAGATGTTTGAAGTAAAAACTTTTTGGAAGAGATGATAAATTCAGTCTGATAAATTTCATCAGAGGTGCCTACAAAAATTTTAGATGGCCACAGTTGAAAAGGCAGCAGGATATATGGGTCCTAAAGATCAAATTTGAGTTCTCTAACTGGAGATTTGGGTGTCATGAGCATAGAGATGGAATTTAATTTCAAAGGAATGCATAGATGTGGAATGCACAGATGTGGAATGCACAGAATAAGGTGAGAGATGAGGGCCAGGACTGCGCCTTGAGAACAGTCAACAATGGGAAAGGAGCAGGCCAATGAATCCAGAGAAATAAGATGCCAGCAGGAGATGTCACAGAGCCTATGATAGAGGCTGATTTATAGAAGAAAGTAGTGATAGGATTTTTCTGATGGGTCAGCTAAGTCATGGAGAAGGAAATGGCAGCCCACTCTAATTTTCTTGTCTGGAAACATCCATGGACAGAGGAACCTGGTGGGCTATACAGTTCTTGAGGTTGCAAGGGGTTGGACACAACTGAGCTACTGAGCTTGTAAGTCAAAAACAAAATGACATTCACTGGATTGATTCTCTTAAATCCTTGGCAGTCTTGGTAGAGCAGTGTCAATGAAGTGATGGTGAGGTAGAAACTAGGTTGGAGTGTAATTAAGGGAAGTGAGGAAATGGGGAGAATGTGAGGATAGACTATTCTTTTTAAAAAATATGTATTTGGTCGCTCCAGGTCTTAGTTGCAGCATGTGGGATCACATTTCCTAACCGGGGATCGAACCGCCTGCACTGGGAGCTCAGGTCTTAGCCACTGGACCCCCAGGGAAGTCCCTGGGGGTCGACTCTTCTTTCAAACAATTTGATGGAGAAAAGGAAAAGAGACTGAGCAGCAACTGGAGGGCTAAGTGGGTTCTAAGCTATGAATTCTTTCAAGATGGGAGATCTTTTTTCTTTGAATTGATTAAGCTTTATTTAGAAAGAAGCGATGCAAGCCAATATGCATTAGAAAATACAAGGTAACCTTTGGAAAATGTACAAAAAGTCACTTAACTATTATTTTTTTTTTTTTGGCCGCACCCAGTGGCATAGGGGAACTTCCCCAAGCAGGGATAAAACCCTCACCGCCTGCAGTGGAATCACATACTGTTAACCACTGGACCAGGGAAGACCAACAGTCACTTAAGATAACACTCAAACTTTGCAAAAAATTATAAAGGAAAAAGATTAGCCAGGAAAATACCTGTCTCCAAGCACATGTACTTTCTCATTTTTTTAAAATTATTTTCCATTGTGGTTTTTCATAGGATATTGAATATGGTTCCCTATGCTGTACAATAAGACCTTGTTGTAAGATGGGAGATCTTTGATTATACTTCAGTGTTAAAAGTCTGAGTACAGGACTTCCCTGGTGGTCCAGTGGTTAGGAATCCACCTGCCAATGTAGGGGACATGGGTTTGATCCCTGGTCAGGGAAGATTCCACATGCCTCAGGGCAACTGAGCCTGAGTACAACAGCTACTTGAGTACTTGAGCCCACATGCCCTAGAGCCTGCTGTCTGCAGCAGGAGAAGTCACCATAATGAGAAGCCCACCCACCTCAACTAGAGATTAGCACCTGCTCACTGAAACTAGAGATAGCCCGTACAGCAGCAAAGACCCAACACAGCCAAAAATCAGTAAAAATTTTTTAAACAGTATGAGTTCAGTGGAGTAGAAGTTGATGGTAATGGAAAAGAACAAAGGAACAGCTAATACAGCAAGCTTTCTGAGAAGTTAAGAAGGGATTATACCAGTGGTTTTCAACCAGGAAAGTTTGCCCCCTAAAGGACATTTGCCAATACCCCTTTCACAACTTGAGGGGATACTACTGACATCTTCCTGACCTCAGCTGGTAAAGAATCCGCCTGCAATGCAGGAGACCCTGGTTCAATTCCTGGGTCTGGAAGACCCGCTGAAGAAGGGATAGGCTACCCACTACAGTATTCTTGGGCTTTTCTGATAGCTCAGCTGGTAAAGAATTCTGCCTGCAATGCTGGATACATGGGTTTGATACCTGGATTGGGAAGATGTCCTGGATAAGGGAACAGCTACCCACTCCACTGTTCTGGCCTGGAAAATTCCATTGACTCTATAGTCCATGGGGTCGCAAAGAGTCAGACATAATTGAGCGACTTTCTCTTTCACTTTTGGGCTTCCTTGGTGGTTCAGATGGTAAAGAATCTGCCTGCAATGTTGGAGACCTGGGTTCGATCCCTGGATTGGGAAGATGTCCTGGAGAAGGAAATGGCATCCCACTCCAGTATTCCTGCCTGAAAATCCCATGGAAAGAGGAGCCTTGCAGGCTACAGTCCATGGGGTCACAAAGAGTCAGACATGACTGAGCGACTTCACCTGCTACTGACATCTAATGGGTAGAGTCCAGGGATGCTACTAAGCATCCTACAATGCACAGGATAGTACCCTCATAACAATAAAGCCTTTTCTTTCTCAATTGCTTCAGTCATGTCCGACTCTTTGACACCCTATGGACTATAGCCCACCAGGCTCCTCTGTCCATGGGTTTTCCCAGGCAAGAATACTGGAGTGGGTTGCCATGCCCTCCTCCAGGGGATCTTCCTGACCCAGGGATCAAACCTGCATCACCTGCGTAAGAGATGTTGACTTTAGATAAGAAGGCAGACATATCTTCATCTGCAAAGTGAAAGAAACCATGACACTGTGGAATGACTTTTGAACTGGGGTAACAAGATGAAAAATCCTTCTTATCATTGTTACAGTTGTTCTGCAAAGTAAGATATAATATCATTTGTTTATTTACTTTTGATAGCATTGATTCTTCATTGCTGTGCACAGGCTTTCCTTAGTTGCAGCGAGCGGGGGCTATTCTTAGTTGCAGTGCATGCACTTGTCCTTGTGATGGTTTCTCTTGTTGCAGAGCACAGGCTCTTAGTTCGCCAACCAAGGATCGAACTCACACCCCCTTCATTGAAAGAGCAGAGTCTTACCCACTAGACCACCAGGCTTCAGTAGTTGAGGCTCATGGGCTCTAAAGCACAGTCTCAGTAGTTCTCACCTGGAACCTTCTCAGATCAGGGATGGAACCTGCCAATGTCCCCTGACAGGATTCTTCCCTGTGCCACCAGGGAAGTTCCGAGATCATTTGTTATTGAAGAGACAAAGTTGAGACCATATGAAATTCAAAATCTTGGAGGAATTTTGGAAAGGTCTTTAGATAATTAGGAGATTAAATCCCCTGTGGGGCTTTTCCTCTAGTGTTGAGGGCCCACTTAAGAGTATGGAACTAAAAATTTTTATTGATTCTCTTGTATTTTATTGGATAGGAATTACCCAGGCAGAATAGATAGATGATATTATGATTCCTCAGAGAGAAATTTGTTGTTTTGGAAAATATATTATTGAAGTGATGGACCATGACATTCTGTACACAGTGCCAAGAAAATGAGGATTATAATAGCAATATGGTGGAAGTATGGATGGCTTGGAAGCTTCTGTGAGGCAGGAGAGAAGATACAGTGCAGCCAAAAAAGAGAACAAGTGGAAATATACCTACTGTGTTTAAAGTGGGAGGTTTGACTTTTTGCCTTTGTAGAAACCAAGAATCTCAGGTAACGATAAATGGGTATATGATTGGGATGTGGAAGCCATGGATTGGATGTTTGCTAGTTTATGCCCGCAAACATGGAATCATCTTGAATTAGAGCAGGGGTAAGAGTTAATGTTTTATTCCTCTTTTTTAAAAAAAATTTTAGCCATGCCACGCAGCTTGTGGGATCTTAGTTCTCCAACCAGGGATTGAACTCATACTCCCTGCATTGAAAGTGCAGAATCTTAACCACTGGACCACCAGAAAAGTCCAGGGATAGAGTTAAAATGAAGAATGGGAGTTAGGTGCCAGTGACTTTAATGAGTCAAGTCTATGTTTGGTGCTAATTCAGGTGAGAAGACAGTAAAGTGCCTCAGAGGAGATGGATTTTTTTTTTATATGGGATTTTTGATAAGTGATGGGTAACGTGGTTTGGTGATGATAATGTGAAGGATGGGCTTCCCAGATGGCTCAGTAGTAAAGAATCCTGCCAAGCAGGAGATGCCAGTTCTATCCCTGGGTCAGGAAGATCCCCTGCAGAAGGAAATGGCAACCCACTCCAGTATTCTTGCCTAGAAATCCCATGGACAGGGGAAGCCTGGCGGGCTATTGTCCATGGGGTCACAAAGAGTGGGACATGACTTAGTGACTAAACAACAATGTGAGGAATGTACGTTAGGGATGGGAGAGACCAAGAATAGCCCTCATATTGCTTTGAGGTGATACGTGGCATGCAAAACGAAGACCCAGGATCAAAGATGGCTGAGTCTGAAAGGAGCACATAGAGAATGCACAATGATCAAATTGTCCTTAAGTGCAAAGGAGAAACAGAAAGCTTGTGAATTCTTTTGTTAATATTTCTTTATTCCAGAGCCCTGCCTGGAGTGGATCATAGAGGCATAAGAGGAGCTTCCAGGTTCTCCTGGTTGCTATCTGAGCATACTTACGACTCACAAACTTACAAAATGGCAACCCCACATCTGTCCACTGTATTTGGTAAGTCCCTAGGGTAGATTCACTTCACCAGGATTAAGTGGGCTCAGCACCTTAGAGCGGGCTCAAAATAAAGGATTTGAGGAGTCACAGGGGACTGGAAGAAGGGCTGGAATGAAAGGAGGTACACATGGAGCTCTTCGAACCCTTGGAGCCCCAGAATTGTTCACGTCAGATTCAGTGCCCTTTGGGGTTTTAGAGGAAGGACGTATATGCATGGTGGGGAGAGGGAAGAAAATTTAAGGGTGGTACTTCTTTATTTCATCAATTTGTTTTATCAAGCTGGGAAAGATAACAACTCAACCTTTGTGAATTTCAATTTCCTTGTTAAGAAAATTGAGAAGATAAACCCATTTCTCATGGGTATCAAAGCACCCTATTATCTTTTTTTAATTGAAGTGTAGTTGATTTACAGTGTTGCATTAGTTGTATTAGGGTATACCAAAGTGATTCAGTGATACATGATTTCTTTTTCATACACTTTTTCATTATGCTGTGCTTTAAAGTAGGACATTGTTTGTTGTTTATATACTTTATATATAGTGGTTTGTATCTGTTAATCCCACACTCCTAATTTATCCCTCCCCAACCCTCTTTCCCCCTTGGTAACCATAAGTTTATTTTCTATATCTATGAGTTTGTTTCATAAATAAGTTTGTGTCATATTTTAGATTCCACATGTAAATGACATCATATGATATTTGTCTTTTTGTTTCTGACTTACTTTACTTAATATGATCTCTAGGCTCATCCACGTTGCTGCAAATGGCATTATTTCATTCTTTTTCATGGTTGAGTAGTATTCCATTGTATATACTACTGCATCTTTATCCATTCATCTGTCGATGGACATTTAGGTTGCTTCCATGTCTTGGCTGTTGTGAGTAGAAAGCACCTATTTTCTGACTCTGGTGGAGCTAGTGCATGTGTGTGTGTGACTCAAGTGATGTCAGACAACTTCTACGCTTGAAAACATTGTGATAATATATATGCCTACATGCTCATGTCATCCTCCCCTCTCACTCTGCCTGTTCTAGACCCTTCCTGTGCCCATGAAAGGACCACAGAGATGGGAAACTTCTGCTCTTGGTTACAGGTGAGTCAAGAATTATTTTCTTTCTCCTAAAATGCATTCCTGTCCCCTGGGGTGAATGCATCTCCTTCAGTACTCTGGAGCCTCACAACTCAACCTGCATTTTGGAACTTCTGATAGTGGTTCAAGGACTTCTAAAAAAAATTATTCTACCCCACTACTTAACAGTTTGTTTTTTTCCAGGCATCTCTTTTGCTTAGTGCAGTTAGTAAAAGAAGTAAAAAGTAAACAAAAATAAAAATAAGAAAAAAAAAACAGAAAAAAAGAAAAAGTTAGAAAATTTTTAAATAAAAAGAAAAATATAATACTGTCTTAGTCTCAAAAATGATGCTTTGAAATGTAGTGCTGGAAAAGACTCTTGAGAGTCCCTTGACTGCAAGAAGATCAAACCAGTCAATCCTAAAGGAAATCAATCCTGAATATTCATTGAAAGTGAAAGTCATTCAGTCGTGTCTGACTCTTTGAGACCCCATGGACTATACAGTCTATGGAATTCTCCAGACCAGAATGCTGGAGTGGGTAGCCTTTCCCTTCTGCAGGGGATCTTCCCAACCCAGGGATCGAACCCAGGTCTCCTGCATTGCAGGCAGGTTCTTTACCATCTGAGCCACAAGGGAAGCCCCATTCATTGAAGGAATTGATGCTAAAACTGAAGCTTCAATACTTTGGCTACCTGATATGAAGAACAGACTCATTGGAAAAGACTCTGATGCTGGGAGAGATTGAAGGCAGAAGGAGAAGAGGGCAGCAGAGGATGAGATGGTTAGATAGCATCATCGACTCAATGGACATGAACTTGAGAAAACTCCAGGAGATAGTGACGGACAGAGAAGCCTGGTGCTACAGCGTGTGGGGTTGCAAAGAGTTGGACACAGCTTAGCAACTGAACAACAACAGTGTCAAAAGTAACAATAATTTTGAAAAATAATTTTTTTCATTTAGGAAGTATTTCTTCCATTCTTGCAATGTGTTCAGGTCTCCATTTGACACTGAAGATAGAAGAGAATAAGATTGTGGAAGTTCTCAGGCTAGGAGTAGAGAGATACATTTCATTATAAATTCTTGAGATTCCTTAAGGAGTGAGCATGAGTAGAGAAGGGAAGATTCTGAGAATTGAGTCCTGGGGTTTTGTTTTGTTTTGGCCATGCTGTGCCACATGTGGGACCCTAGTTCCCCAACTAGGTATTGAACCCATGTCCCCTGAATTGGGAGTGGGGATTCTTAAACATCAGACCACCAAGGAAGTCCTTGAATCCTGGATTAAATGAAGAGTCCTCAGAATCTAGACTTATGAAAGTGAGGTAAAGACCATGAAGTAAACAGGTCTTTTATCTCCAGTGCTGTTACCCATGATCCTCTTCCGCAGAACACTGTGGGATTGGTGACTGGTTGACCCGAGATATGTTGTTATTTTAGAACTCAATCACCTTTGAGGATGTGGCCATAAACTTCACCCAGAAGGAGTGGGCATTGCTGAATTCATCTCAGAGAAGGCTGTACAAAGATGTGATGCTGGAGAACTATAGAAACTTGGCTTCAGTGGGTAAGGCTGACACAATCCCTTATTTATTTTATTGAGTTTGAGCATGGGTTTCTTGGGTGATTAAGGCTTGTGATACAGATACAGACTATTTAAAAATTAACTCATTCATGTATTTATGGCTGTGCTGGGCTTTTCTCTAGTTGGGGCAAACAGGGGCTACTCTTCATTCCCCTGGTGCAGAGCACAGTTCTAGGTACAAGGGCTCAGGAGTTATGGCACTTGGGCTTAGCTGCTCCAAGGTATATGGGATCTTCCTGGACCAGGGGTCGAACCTGTGTTCCCTGCATTGGCAGGTGGATTCCCAACCACTAGACCTCCAGGGAAGTCCTGTAGGTTTTTATTTTTAAGAAAAATAACTGTATTGAGGTATAATTCACATACCATAATTTAGGCCCAAGAGTAAAATTGCTGGGTTATTTGGTAACTTCATACTTCACATTTTTAGGCACAGCTAAACTGTTTTCCAAACTGGCTGTGTCATTTTACATTCCCTCCAGTAATATATGTTGATTCCAAATTCTCCATAGTTTTTTTTTTTTTCCCATAGTTTCTTACCAACACTTATTTCCTGTTTTTTGATGATAGTCATCCTAGTAGTTGTGAAATGGAATTTCATTGTGCTTCAGATTTGTATTTGCCTAATGACTAGTGATGTTGAGCCCACATGCTCTGCACTGGAAGGTGGATTCTTAACCAGTGAACCACCAGATAAATCCCAAATTTCCTAATTCTTTGCCTGATCTCCTGACACCAGGTTATGGTGAAGAAAAATACAGCATTTGTTGCAGGGTGCCAAGCAAGAGAGTGGGAGAAAAGCCTCAGATCCCCTCCAGCTTGGTCTTTGAATTAGCGTTTGTTTGGTTTTTTTTTTTAAAGAGGAATTAAAAAGAGACTGGGATTAATTGCTCATTATCTTGTGACATTTCTCTGACTTTTCTTAATCATAGTTTTGGGAGTCAGGATATCTCTGGTTTAAGATTCTGAAGTCCTTGACTTCAGGGTCAGTTAGCTCATCTAACTGACTAAATAGCAGTTTTAGTACATTATTGATGGTACCAAAACCAGCAGTTTTAGTCATTTGACTGATTGATTACTGTTAAGTTAGCATAGGATTGAGGTCAGAGGGGATAAAAGAACAGGAATAAAGTTTTGGATAGAATGATTAATCATAAACTTGGTAAGGGAACTCAGTTTTAGGGAAATTTGGTTTCACTGCTGGCTTTTATTTTTTCTTGTTGGTACTTATTTGTTTAGTGACTTTACTAGATGAATTCCACAGATTCTGTATTCTCTGCAGTGTGCAGCCACGGAGTTTTCTTATTTTTTTTTTAAGTACTTAATTTTTAAAAGCCTGGCTTTGGGGAAGTCACTAGCTGGTCATTATAATTTAGTAGTCCACCAATGATTGGTAAAAAGATTTTCTTACATGCCTTGCCTGTATCTTTTTTTTTCATTTGTTTTGTTTTTAAAAGATGTATTTATTTATTGGCTATGGTGGGTCTTTGTTGCTGTATGTGGGCTTTCTCTAGTTGTGAACAGGGCCAATTTTCGTTGTATGTGGATTTCTCAGTGTTGTGGCGTCTCTTGTTGTAGAGCACAGGCTCGTGAGCGCTCCGGTTTTGGTCGTGGGAGCACTTGGACTCAGTAGTTGCTTGTGGCTCGCTGGCTCAGAGTACTCAGGCTTAGTTATCCTGCGGCATGTGGAATCTTTCCAGACCAGGGATTGAACCAGTGTCATCTGCATTGCAAGGTGGATTCTTAACCGCTGGACCACCAGGGAAGCCCCTTGCCTTTATCTCTTCCACCTCTTGCCAAGGGGACCTATGGGAGAAGTCACAGCTTTAAGCTTCAGGCAAGTTATGAGACAGGCTTAGCTTTCGCTTTCTGCTTAGACTTGGACAGGGTCTTAAAGTCTACCGAAGGACTTGGGACTTAATCTTTCCTAGATATTTCCTGAGCATGTGCATAGACTTGCTCATGCACACAGCCTTTTAGATCCTCAGGAACTTGTTGGGAGCTTTTCAAAGTTCCCTGTAGTTGTCTAGTTCTTACTCTTCTTTAAAACTCCCAGCCCATCTTCTGCTCTCCCCAAGTGAAATCAGAGCCTTAAGCATCCGGGGCTGTTACTAGCAGATTGCAAGTGTTTGAATAATGCCTTGGGGTTAAGGGCTTTTTTTTTTTTCTTTCAGTCTGTTAATCTAGGCTCTGAGTAAATCAAATAGCCACACCACCCTGAGTATGGAGATTTTCTAAGGAGCTGCAAGTTTAGAAAACAAAAATATTGACTGTGTTCTATGGTTCTTTTTTTTTTTTAAGTTTTTTCCCTCTTGTATTAGTAATTGTCTATGTTCAATTTCTACTTTCCTTCCTCCCTTTCTTTTTTTTTTCTTCCCATTTATTTTTATTAGTTGGAGGCTAATTACTTTACAATATTGTAGTGGTTTTTGTCATACATTGACATGGTTCTTTTAACAGAGCTCCCAAAGAGGTTAGACCACCTCTGTTGACTACAGAACTTCTGGCATTGGCCACTATGCCACTGAGCTAGGCAGAGTGAAGGGATGAAATAATTCTTTCCTAAGTTTTGTTTGTTTATTAGGCTGCATTGGCCCTTAGTTGCAGCACGAGGGATCTTTTGTTGCGTCTCACAGACTCTGTAGTTGCAGTGTACGGGCTTAGGTGCTCTGCAGGGTGTGGAATCTTAGTTCCCTGACTAGGGATCAAGCTGCATCTCCTGTATTGCAAGGTGAATTCTTAACCACTGGACCCCCAGGGAAGTCCCCGGTGGGGCTTCTAAAAATAGCCTTAAAATGTCACATACCCTGTTCTTTTACCAAGGTTCAATGATTTCTGTAGTCAGTTTTCCATTTGTGGAAAGTTGATTTCCCAAATGCTTTACTTTTGCTTTCTCTGTTAGAAGTTTATCATCCTTTTGCTCTCTGTAATGTCACAATTGTCAATCTTCAGAACCTCAAAGACCAAGTTCTTGCCACAGTTTGATGATAGTTTTTGTCATACACTGCATGGCCCTCTCATATGTATCATCCCCAATTATAGGATATCAACTCAGCAAACCTCCTCTCATCACCCATCTGGAGCAGGAAGATGAAATGAAGATAGTAGAGCGAAGAATTCACCAAGATACCTGTTCATGTGAGCACCAGGCATATATGAATGTCTTGCCTACAAGATCTGTTTGGGGTGAAGGAAAAGGTGCATTATGAAATGTCAGGAGACTTTAAAAAATAACCCCTTTTATTTAAGGAGAAAGCTGAGAAGAGACCCTTTGGTGTGAACTTCCTTATGTAGTTTCAGCTTCCCTAATCTTTCACTTTTTGCCTTTCATTTCATACTTTCCTGTGCTCTGAAACAACTGTCTTGATTTTTAATATTTACATTTCGAATCATTGTCTGATTCTTCCCATTTTGCATGTGTAGTAATGGCTTGTCAACAACATGACTTTCAATCAAGACAGAATGATTCCTTAGTAAATTACATGAAACCCTAAACCATGTAAATGTCATCAGTTCCACCATAAATGGATTCTTCTTCATTTTGTCTTCCTGAGTCTAGGATCAATATTCGAAGAGAAATCCACATGGGGCTTAACTATTTTGGTCATCATCCCACAATGTTATTTAGTTAATTAATTTTTATTGGCATGATAGTTAATTTACAGTGCTATGTTAGTTTCTGCCATATAGCAAAGTCAGTCAACTATAGATATATCCACTCTTAGATTCTATTCCCATACAGGTCATCAGAGAGTACTAAATAGAGTTCTCTGTGCTATACATTCCACCATTTTATATAGGACCATGAGGTTACGCTTCCCATTTGTTTCAGATTGGGGTTAGGCATTACCTGTTTTTGTCAATATGTGGTCTCCATGTCTTTTCCAAAACTTTTCTCCACTTTGTTCAGATAAGATGATTCTCCTTAAAACCGAAGGACCACAGCAAGAACAAGGTATTTTGGAGAAATATACACTCAATGACAAGAAGGTAAGATTCACATGGGATAATTTCTTGTCCTCACCTTAGAAGTTCAGAATCCTATAAGATAGAGAAGAACTAGAGCAGGGTTCCCCAATCCCTGAGCCACGGACTGCTACCAGTCTGCACAGCAGGAGGTAAGTGATGGGTGACCCCGTTGCTCACATTGCCACCTGATCTCTGCCCCCTGTCAGATCAGTGGCAGCATAATAACTATAATGCACTTGAATCATTCCCAAAACCATCCCCACCCCCATCCATGGAAAAATTGTATTCCACAAAAACTAGTCTCTGGTGCAAAAAAGGTTGAGGACTGCTAGACTACAGGGTAATCCAAGTGATATCATGCTTATTTCACCAACAGAAAGCAGAAGCTACTGTTAAGTTTTCATTTGAAGGAAGTTCATAACAATCCCTAATGTAAATATTTGCATAATGGAATTAGATATTAAATGTTTAAGATATCATTCACCCTAAGGCAGTTTTATCTTAAATCTGTTGAAGAAACTTTAGTGGAATCCATCTGGTATAGCAATCAGCTGACTAATAAATTCAGTCAGAAACTTATATTCACTGAGAAAATATGAAACTCTTATGCTAATAAAGTGCTTGTTAGACATGTCAGAATTTATTCTGGGGGAGAGTCTCAGTCATGAACTTGATAAATCTCATGATCATAATTCATATTTTAATCATTAGGAACAAACTCTTGGAGGCAATACCATTCAATGCAGAGAAATCGTTGAAACCTTGAGTGTGAAATCTAGCATTATTCAGAATAAGAGAATTTACCCAGGCAAGAAACTCCATCGATACCCTGACTCTGCAGAAGCCCTTGGTGAATCTTCACATCTCAAGTCACATGAGAGAATTCTTCCTCAGAAAAAATCATCCAACTGTGAAACACATGAAAATTCCTTCATCAGGAGCTCTAACTTAGCCAGCCACAAGAAACAACATACAGGAGAGGGATCCTATGAATGCAGTGACTGTGGGAAAGTCTTAAATTCAATCTCACATCTTAAGAAGCATGAGAAAACTCACATTAGAGATACACCTTTTGCGTGTAGCCAGTGTGGTAAAGTATTGCAGAGCCATGGGTCCATTAAGCTGCACATGAGAACCCACACTGGAGAAAAACCATTCAAGTGTGATCAGTGTGGGAAGTCCTTCACCTCAAGCTCTTATCTTACACGTCACAAGAGAATTCATACTGGAGAGAAGCCCTATGCATGCCATGACTGTGGAAAAACCTTCCGAGATAGCTCACTTCTCAGACAGCATGCAAGGACTCATTCAGGAGAAAAACCCTACAAATGTAATCAATGCAACAAAACCTTCAGTAGAAATGCTAGGCTTATCATGCACCAGATAGCACATACTGGAGAGAAACCCTATAAGTGCAATGATTGTGGAAGAACCTTTAGTGTTCTCCTATACTTTAAACAACATAAGAAAATCCACACTGGAGAGATAGTCACTGAATGTAGCCTCTGTGGTAAAGCCCTAAAGAGTGAGGCATCTCTTAAGACACATATGAGGATACATACTGGAGAGAAACCTTACAAGTGTAATCAATGTGGGAAAGCTTTTAGGCTGAGCTCCAACCTTACCACACATAAGAAAATTCATACTGGAGAGAAACCCTGTAAGTGCAATGACTGTGGGAAAGCCTTCAGGGATCGCTCATGCCTTAAAGAACATGCGAGAATTCACACTGGAGAAAAACCCTTTACCTGTAATCAGTGTGGAAGAGCCTTCAGAGTGAAATCTTTCCTCATGTTACATAAGAAAATTCACATGAAAATGAAGTATGAATGTAAGGAATGTGGGAAAACCTTCCGTGGTCTCTTATCTCATGGGAGGCATATGAAAATCCATACCAGGGCCAAGAAGCCTTTTAAGTGCAGTGAATGTGGAAAAGCTTTTAGTAGGCATGTTTCCCTTACAGTACACATGAGAACTCACACAGGGGAGAAACCCTATGAGTGTAATCAATGTGGAAAATCCTTCAGTGTAAAGTGTAATCTCACTGTGCACAAAAGAATACATACTGGAGAAAAACCCTATAAGTGCAAGATCTGTGGGCACAGTTTCAGTAAACCCTTACCCTTTCAGCGTCACGAGAGAACTCACGCTCAATAAGTCCCTTTTGATGACATCCATGTAAAGTAGCTTTCAGGGAACTCTCAGTCTTTAAGGCATACAACAAAATGCTAAGTGGAAAGAACTGGTTTTGAATAATGTGAGAAGGCCTCTGAATAATGCGTATATGGGAGAAACCTAAGTTATGCAATGATTGTGAGAAATTTTGTATTCGTTCATTATCCCTTAGAAGATATGTAGTCATGCTGAAAGAAAGTGTTTTAATATCTTCAAAACTTGTTAGTTGGGGAAAAAAAAAGGCTTGTTACCTGAGAAAAATAAAAACCTAATGTTTTAAGCCACCATATTTTCTGTGTATTTGTTCTTTTGTTTTCTGTGTATTTGTGTGTGGTGGTGATGGTAGTGGTGGTGGTGATGTGTGCTAGGTTACTTCAGTCATGTCCAACTCTTGGCAATCCTATGGGCGCTATGGTGGTGGTGGTAGGGAGTTTTCTTTTTTATTTCTTCCAGTTGGCTGTAATCACTAACCAATATAGTCCACAGATGGTCAATTTTTAAAAATAAATTTTACATATGGTAACAAAATTGAAAAACTATTTAGTATGGGGATATAGGTTTGATAGATAATTGCATGCATGCTTAGTCACTCAGTCATGTCCAACTCTTTGCAAACCCATGGACTGTAGTCCACCAGGCTCCTCCGTCCATGAGATTCTCCAGGCAAGAATACTAGAGTAGTAGCCATTCTCTTCTCTAGGGGATCTTCTCAACCCAGGATCAAACCTAGGTCTCCAGGATTACAGGCAGATTCTTTACCATCTGAACCACTGAGGAAGCCCCTTAATAGATGTTTGCCTATTAGATAAAGCTCTTAAGTTGTGCTTACAAATCACCTGTGTACCTCTGTGTTTCTTGTCTCCTGTCACATCCTGCACAAGGTCTGTAGTGAGTCTTCCCATGAAGATTGCAGATGGTTCAATTCTCCTTGGAATTATGAAATTTTTACAACACATTTTGTGTATACACTTAACATATACGAGAATGAACAAATGCATGAATCTTTACAAGGTAAAACACCTCTGGGACAGGGAGGCCTGGCATCCTGCTGTGAAGCAGTCCATAGCGTCACAGAGAGTCAGACACAACTTAGTGACTGAACAACAGCAGAATACCTCAATATTAACTACTGCAAGCTCTGGTCAAGGTATAGAATATTATGGGCACTACTAATCACTCTGATTCCTGCCATCAGAATGTAGGTACTCTATAGAATCATGTATTTTTCATTCTTTTTAAAAATTGAAGTACAGTTAACTTACAGTGTTGTTTCGGGTGTTCAGCAAAGTGACTCAGTAATATATACATATGTATGTTGTTGTTCAGTCGCTAAGTCGCATCTGACTCTTTGCTGTCTGACTGTAGCCCACCAGGCTCCTCTGTCCATGGGCTTNTTTTTTGACTGCACTGTGCAGCTTGCAGGATCTTAGTTCCTTGGCCAGGGATCAAAACCAGGCCCTGAAAAAAGAACAAGAAACCAGGCCCTGGCAGTGAAGCACAGAGTCCTAACCACTGGATGGCCAGGGAATCCCCTAGAAACATGTATTTTAAAAACAACTTTGTTGGGATAAAATTCACGAACCAAAAAGTTCACTCATTCAAAGTGTACAATTCATTGACTTAAGTTATGTGTACTCTTGTGCCTGATATCACATGTCATTTGTGCCTGGCTTCTGCTCAACATTACATTTTTGAGATACATTTTTTGCTGTTGCATCTAGCCAGAGTTTATTTTCATTGCTGCACAGTTTTCCATAGAATGAATTTGTACACTGTATCAGTCAACTGTTTTGGACATTTTATCTGTTTATAGCTGGGATATTTTACAAATAGTGCTGCAATGAACATTCTTATACGTGTCTTTTGATTCCCAACTACATATTTTTGTTGGGTATGTATTAAGGAATAGGTATGGTAATATTTATTTCACAACTACCACGCAGTTTTCCAGAATAGTTGCACCAAATTTCATTCCTGCTTTCTTGCCAATCTTTCATATTGTCTCTTTTGTTTGGACCATTTTGATGAGTATGTAGGGCCATGTTTTGGTTTTTCTTAATTTTAAAAACTTTTATATTGAACTACTTTTACACTTAGAGAAGGACTTCCCAGATGGTGTGATGGTAAAGAAGCCACCTGCCAATGCAGGAGATGCAAGAGACTTGGGTTCAACCCCTGGGTCAGGAAGATCCCCTGGAGAAGGAAATGGCAACCCACTCCAGTGTTCTTGCCTGGAGAATCCCAGGGATAGAGGAGCCTGGTGGGCTGCCGTCTGTGGGGTCGCACAGAGTCAGACCCGACTGAAGCGACTTAGCAGCAGCAGCAGCCAGTATCTTTGCCTGGAGAGTTCCATGGACAGAGGAGCCTGATGGGCTACAGTATGGGGTCACAAAGAGTCAGACACAACTGAGCGACTAACACACATATCCCTCAGTTCAGTTCAGTTGCTCAGTCACGTCCAACTCTTTG